AAAACTCAGCAGATAACAAAGATGTATTTTTAGCAACCATAAATTGTCTTTTGTCTCAGTCTGGCTCTCTTTTGAAAATGAACAAGCGAGGTGTTTAAATCAATTGTACACTCCAGTAATCGACCGGAAATCCGAGCATCAGCTTCAATCTAGTAAAATCTGTGCTTCAGTAACTGAAAAAACTTACGGCGCACACTGCTTCACATTCGTCTTTTTTGTGACACTGCTTGATTCGAAACGAGGCGATTTCCTTATAAAAAAGACGCTTATCAATGGACACAGTGACTAAAGTTTTCAATTAGATCGCAGTTATGCTCTGGTCGAAGCATCAACGGCTGATTCAAAGTGGGTTCGAACCCAGATTTTATGAAAGGGTCGATCAGTACGTGCGGATGCACAGGCACCCAAGCTTTCCTGACCAGGTGCTTGCAGATGATCACGGCTACTTCGGATTTCATGCTAAGTTACTCATCTTCGACCAAAGACAAAACATTCCGGTAAATGTAGAGTTTGAATTTTTCCAATAACCAATGGTGTTGATCTTTCTCCAGTTATGCTCCCACAAAACAGTAACCTGACTCTTTCTTTGGATTTATTGGATCCATAGACCGTTTTTCCTTTGAGACTTAATGTTTCTTTCTGGGGGCTACCTGTAATACAAGGCTGCTTCATCTGCATTGAAAATATCACGTTCAGCGTATCCATGGATCAACTGTGTAACCCCGCTCGAAACTCGTCCACTGCATCAGGTAGTACAGCCAAACTTTCACCCCAATCCAATAAAGTAATGCACATGGGTAGTTGCTTGTCTCTTACTTTGTAGGGTTGAATAACACATCCGCCTGACCAAGAGCAAAACCAAATTTTAGAAGCCCTGAAGTTACGATGATGCTAACTGAATTGCCTTCCTAGAAATGATGCTCACCATCATGAGGAACTCGTCATGTTTTTCACTCATTCACTTCCTTGAAATTTTCGTTGGTTTTCAGGTGGCATATTCCTGAGAAGCTCCAGTGTTCACCAATTATTCGATGGAATATAACACTTTAATGAGTTTTTCTTCGAAATACCAATAATTCAGCTATGGAACTCTGAGTTGCACCTGACTGATTCGGCATTTCCAAAACGTTCTGATCGATAGGCGACCGCACATTTTGAAGTCAAGTGACAGTCTTCGATTGCTGACATCAGTGTGTCTTCCCCGCATAGATTATCCAATTAGTGAAACGTGTCATGTTCAAGTCACACTAGGTGAAACGCCATTGCAGGTTGGCTGGTCAATGGCCGTCCCGAACATCGGTCAACGACCAGGGGAGTAGGTATCAGGAACTGAGACATATTGAGGGGGGCGACATTGCATGACCAAAAACTACGTTATTACACCTACGTTGGTTTGGGTTTTCCAAAAAGTGGGAAGATATTGGAAAATATGACTTCCCAGTGGTGGGAGATTGACTGTACAACCCAAAAGGCAGTAGTGCATAGATTGAGCGGGGGACGTGACCAAATCACTTATGCGGAAGCCTCTGCAGACAGCCACATAAAGTCTGTAGGCTTAGTCTCTGGTGCTTTGATTACTGATTAGCCGTTCAGGATTGACCCTAGCCCCAAGCACTCAATGAGACAAGCGGTAGGTGAACGGAATAGCACCTTGCTAGCTGCGGTCTCCTAAGCTTGGGTGAGCGGTAGTTGTCTAACCAAGTGGATGGCTAAAGGAGAACCTCAATCATCCGGCTCAATATCAGGTATGTCTGAACCTGCAGCTGTGAGAAACCGTTCACAAGATCATAAAGGCACGCAAGACATAAGAGTGTGATCTTATCATAGTGGTGCTCAGTCGGGTCACAGCGAATCCGTCATCCGCCACCAAAATGATAGCAATGACGGGCGAACAAAATGACGTTTGCAAACTGTCAGGAATAAAACATGAGCCAATGGTGCTCAAGAGATGGAAAATCACCATAACCCGATCGAAATGAAGCCTTCCACATTGAGTGGTTTATAAATACTACATTCCAATTCGTAGTAGTAACACGATAGTGAAAGAAATCGGAATGAAAGACCCATAAAAGCACAGCTTGATGTATAATTCTCAGGAGAAACGTGAATAGACAGGACGTCTTCCAGGTACAGTAACCGCTAGAGGGATTCCAAACTTGGCAACGGGACAAAAACTATTCCTCAATCAGTTCAGGTTCAAAACAGTGGTTGACCTCGAGAACAAATGACACAAATAGGTTGTTTATGCTGAGACGATCAGTTCTGTTATGAACGCTTCGAACCGTCCGAAATGTGAACGCACACCACTAGTCAAACAACATATCAACACTACGGACGGGGCCACACGTTTTGGACGATTGACAATCATCACCACAAAGTCAATACAAATAACTCCCCCGGTTTTGTTAATGTTCATGTTTCAATCAGCAGCGCAGCACAAGCACGATACATGGTACGATATGAAATGAATCTCACCTCAAATCAAATAGTGAATAGATTTTATTGACAAAAAACTCCGAGTCGATCAGATGGCACGTGATGTTGAATTGCTTTCGAACATCATGTATTGCATGAGTTTGAATGAACATGTAGCAAGAAACAACTATTTAAGCGATCAAAGCGAAGAAACCATTTCGACTGGAGGACAAGGAAGTAATTAGGTGGAAACTGTTAGCACGGATGAAAACCACGTATCAACTTAGATCATAAAAACGGGAGGCTCTGGAGATGGCATCTCCACCATAATTTGACCCTTAAAAAATAGAAACCGAAACATGTGTCCGAATTCGGTCCAATGAATGACACAAGAGGGTGCCTACTCCAAGCGTGAGGCAGTGCAAATATTCGATGGAGAAGTGCAGTAAACCAGGAAAGCCAGTTCATACGCGTACTTTTTAAAGTATAGACTACCAATCAACGCCAAAAGTAACCACCGAACTGGTCACGTAGGAAGTGAACCAATATCAACCCACTTTCACCATTCAGCAGTGATCGAACAAGCCAGCCCGAGGACTCATGAGATCAGGTCGCGATGGACAGAAGAAACGAGTCTTCAACAGGCGTATGTATTGCGCACAAGATACCGTAAAACGAAGCGGCACATTGTTACAGGCAAACACATTAGACCAGGGAGAGAGAAACTATCAACGATTGAACAAGTACGACGATTGTGTGACTGCATCATTGCTCTGTCACATCCGGAGGCGGTCTCAACGTGCGCACAAAGAGGAAAAAACCATCAGGCCCATTTCGAATAGTTGAAAAGTCCCCGGTTGTGTACGGAAACAAAAGTATTATTTATAGATATTCTATCAGATCGCAAACTGTAATCCGGAGAAAGGAAGCATTTAGTTTGGGAGCAAAGGAGGCAAATAGAAATTGAGACGCGCAACTGAATACACAGGACACTGAGACTGTTCGTCATATATTAATCAGCATCTGAAAATTGGTAACACTTTCTACGATAAACAGTGCATCAGAATGGGGGATTAGAATGGAACGTGTGCCGTGGACAAACTCAATCGAAGAACAACGAGCCGCATTGAAAGAATTAACTAGTTATCAGCAGCATAATCAATGGCGCAAATTGGCTGTTTTGTGCGACTTTACAGGCAATTCCATTCACTGTCAGTTAGAGCAAATGTTTTGATCGCCATGGTGTGCGAAGGTAACGATTGTTAAGATAGTAAAAAAGGAAATCCGCGAACAAATCGCACTATTTTGTGATGTGGTGCAACCTGGGTGACCAAGTGATCAAAGATGAATAAGGCGAACAAGGCACCAAGTGAAGAAACAGTGATAAGAGGATAGATACAAAAATGACGTACGCATGCATTTAGTGAAACGTTAATTGGGTGGCACTATGATTATGAATACATCAAGAACCTGGGATGGAAGTGAGTGAACGATTGGGGCAGGAAGCATGTGGAAGTGGATGATGGAAGGGCGAGAATGAGCAGGGTGACAGATAAGGAATTTGATCTGACAGCGTCACGGGTGTGTGTAAGCGCAGGATGAGAGGATGAGGGCGCGTGTGTGGTGGTAGTGCTCAATTTAGTTTGTAGAAGCGATGGGCTTAGGTAAATAAACAAATAGAGAAAAGTACAAAAGAAAACGAACACCTGTCGGAGTATCCCGCAAATTCATATGCGACGGACGAGAGTGTGTTCGTCTGTGGTTTAATCGAAGGAGATGGGAGAAATCGATCTAATGAGCAACTTCGGTGACCAGAGCAATTCAGTGGTCGACAAAGAGAAAGAATCAATTTGATTCAGGGTACATCCACCACGAACGGACTTCCCGGGACATGCTGATCACCCCATTTGACTAATAGCCAATGCCGTCCCGATTCGTTCACACGGTACGAGACAGAGTACTGATTGTTACCCAAATGTTTCACTTTCACCTCCTCAAACGGACGAGTCGGACCGCAGATACCAACCAGGAGAACTTCCGAACCTAGAATGGAAACGAGAGAATGTCAAAACGTTAGCATATTCACGAGAGAGAACATACAGATGTCAAAAATAACGTGATGCAACTAGCTTGATTGCAAAACGACACATGCACCGGGTTTTGTGGCTAATTTTTTTTGCATCGATAGCAAAGCCTATTAAAGGACAGTTAGATAAAAACGATATGAAAGAGAAAAGGGCTGTGTCTGGGAAATGCTTCATATATTTTTTATTAGTAATACACCCTAACAAAAACTGGCACTGGAATTGATAGAAACTCGTCGTTTCTTTCGAATGCTGGACCAATCCCTGAGAATCAATTTGAATCGGTTCCACTGCCTCTATTCTACGCGCATCGAATTGAAAAACCGACCGACAATATGAATCCAACGATGAAAATTTCAGATTAAGATTAATCAATACCTATTTCGAACTGCACCATATCGTGATGAATAAACACCACACAGGAGAAGCGTAAGCATGAAAAACCGGAGAGATATTTATTATTATTATTTATTTATATGCCCCTCGTCATCAAGTATGCACTACACTCACCGGCATCACTGGCGTCCACATTGAAGTAGTTCACAGTTTCTATATCAGCATGTTTCAGTCCATGACCCTGACAACGAACACGATCCGCATGTGTACCAGTCCGACGATCAGACATTTCTGCGGAACCGTAAGCTGAGGTTGTGGTTGTTTTGCTAACAGTTTCCAGTACAACGTGAGACTGATGCTCTGATACGCGAGATGAACCGCTCGTGAGTTTTGGTGTTCCAGTAATCTCAGCCTGATCACAGATGGCGGGGAACAAGATGTTGAATTTTACATTTGCGAGTATACTACTACGAATTTTCTACACAACAGAAATCGTATTTCAGTCAGTTTTGTAATAGGAGAAGTAAAAGATAAACCCAAAACATACATTAAAAATTTTGAACATAGAAATAACTTCATAAACCCTATCAGTCTAAACTCATGCAAAGTTCTTTTACAGTATTTCTCGTTATCTGATGAAAGCAAAAGACAAAAGAGCGGGAATTTTTTCGCACGAAGTCAACATGTGATGAAGGGGTAAGGAGATCAGTGCTGTGGGAGATCATAGTAATCAGCTTGGTTGTGAACACCGAAAGCTGTTGCTACTTTCAGTCAAGCGAATGGAGGATACAAGACTGAAAATCAGAAGAAAAATTCGAAATTTCTTGCAAATCCATTCAATCCAGGTGAACAGTAAACTGAACAAAACATTGAGTACTTGTCAACTGAATACATCACTATCTACTTTAAACAAAGTAGTGTGGAGAAAGGAAAATATAGCCCACTGAGACAGCACAGTTTCAGTTTTTACAACCATTAATCATGAACTTTCGTGCGCCGGTTTTGGTTGCTGTCTTTTGGTGCCCCATTTGGATAATAAAGCAGAAAGAAGATTGGAATGTTGAAAGCAAATTCAAGCGGAAGATGAAGAATTCATATAGAGTGGTGTTAGGAGAATAACGAGTGGATGCATGAGCGCCACTGTTCGCAACACCTAGCCATATCAATCGGTGTCTCTAATCATCGGTGACCATTATCCCGAGGTCCCCAGCCAGGGAGCCTAACTGGGCCTATGTGACCTAGTCTCCTGGTTAGGGTTTTCATACTCTCATGCCAGGTTTTCGCTTGACCACCCTTGATCGATTTCCAACCGATACCTGCCACGACGAGACTGCACCTTGACATAGTGTGATGGCTTGCGTGCCTCCATGACCTTGCGAGCTACACAGGATAGCTTTTCACAGCCGTAGATCAAAACACGCCTGGAAGGTCAACGAGTAGAGGCCAGACGAAGATCAGCCTCACAAAACCAGCTGCTCGGGCACTTCCTGGTTCCCTTCTTCTATCCACACCCGCCCCTGGACAGGCCACTCCAGCAAATAAACACGGTGAGGGGCAGTTTACCGGCCAAACCCCCCCGCTAGATGGATGTAGCAGCGGGGTACTTGCCACCTCTTCTCGACAGTGGCAGAAGCCTTCGTACTTCATTGAACAGCTACCGCCCGCCCAAGCTGGGCAGCCCCCAGACAATAAGGTGCTGACCCGTCCACGTTCCACTTCTCATTGGGTGCATGAGGCCAAGCGGACCATTTGGAAAGCCACCTTTCCCATCTGTCTGTTCCTTCTTCTCAATCCCAAACAATTCCAGGTGCCTCCTATTTACGAGAGCCATCGGATATCAGTCAGCGTTCAACGAATAAGGACAACCACTCAGAGGCTAGCACATTTTTGAAANGGACTTATTACACTGTATTGTGCTTACAAGACAAGAGGCAGCCGCTCTGACACCTAGGGGCTGGCAACGAATGTCAGTAAAACTGATCCGGCCAAGTTATCTATCATATTCAGTGCTCGCTTGAGAGGAAGCCGATGGTGCGAATATCGCAGTTATCTTTAACCTCGAATCACTCACCACACAGATCAAGGATGATTTCTCTTTCGGCAGCAAGGAAAATAAATCCAACTGTTGGTGACTATTTTAAATAAACTGCGATAGACCACAGTGGTTGATAGTTTGTATCATTTTCACCCCAAAGAGAAGCAAAAAATGGAACCAAGCAACCCGGTTTGCTCATTTTAGCACTTTAAAAACTGCCCGCTTTGACTTTCACCATGTGCCCTTGAAAAACACTTCCATGCATGTAATCATTCACAAACGCAAACTGGAACATCAGCCTACGGTAATTGCGAATGTGCTCCAAATTCAACGAAGTTATTTATTTACCGGCATGTTGAGTTCAACAATGTCAAAACTTTTAGACTTACATCTCAGAGTTGTAGAAACGTACACTCTACCAGATTGGTCAACAAGCTGTCTTAGCCAGGACCCTTGAAACCTTCCATTTAGATGTATGCCGTGTCTCTGAAACACGCATACAAGACCCTACTTCAATCATCTCCCTCCGTTCTCCAGATCCAACCTCATCCCCCGCTTCACTCTCCATGTGTCAGGCGATCTGGAATCCGAATCTCGTGGTGTTGTTGATGTTGGGATTGCGCTAGGTGTCAAGAATGAGCGTTCATTTCTCGACTGGATCCCGGTTAGCAACCGACTTTGCGCTGTACGTCTGGACGGTTCAGTACGGATCAACACTTACGGAACGAAGCGTCGATGTTTATTCGTCGTATCCGCCTATGCACCAACTGATTGCAGCATACCAGAAGTGACGGCTCAATTCCACAAGGACCTATCTCAACTGCTCCAAAGTGCTCGTTCATCGGACATCGTGGCAGTCGCTGGAGACTTCAATGCTCAGGTCGGGTCCCTGGATTAACCAGAAAGGCTACTTGGTGGTTCATATGCAATCCCAGCTAATCGAACGGACAAAGGAGAATGTCTACTCCTACTTTGCGCTGACCACGGACTAAAACAGCACAGAACATTATGAAGTCAACGAGAGCTGCTGTCCTGGATAATTCCGGAAGTGGATGAAAAACGGATTAAAGCGCGGACCCTTCAAATGGAATGTCAAAGCGTAAAAACACGATAATGAATGAGGTGAAGGCTACGGAGATACACCAGGTAAAGAACTCCGCAGCCACAAGAACCTACCGGTTGCATACACCGACTCAAGCCTTGAAACCTGGATTCAGTTTCATGAGGTACAGATTAAATACGTGTAATCAGATAACAGCACGAGTTTACACATGACATATGAGGATATCAGTGAAGGAAAAACGACCTCATTTAGCCGTTGTGTCTGGTGACCGAGAGGAAAATATTGGATATACAGGAAAGGAAGCTCTTTAAACCAACGTACCTTGAACGGAGAACCGACAATATGAAAATTACCGCCATATTTGATGGTTATCTCATAGATTCCCGGCACTGGAGGGACGTAGGTGAACGCATAACCCTCGTCTTGTTCTTGTGTGGTCAACGAGACTTTGCTAGGACCGTCCACGGTCACATTAAGTACACCACTACCTGCATTGGCAGTGTTGACGAAGAACGTGTTTTTCATGTCTGAACCAAAGAACAAACAGTCATTAGGGCGGATAAACGGGAGTTGTGTATCGTACATGTCCCAAACAGATATGACGAATTCAATGAAGATAGAACAGCTAGAAAATGGGGACCAACGGAAGTTTGAGATGATACAAACGAAAAACAAAGTCAATTGTTATGGGCAAGATTTTGCGGCATGTTATTTTGGGTTTGTTGAGCAGACGACTCTTCGGCGACACACAATTGTATATGAAAACGTTACAATGGATGTTGGACTGGGAGCTAAGCAAAAGGAGGGACAAGGGCTGATCAAATTGTTTTTAAAAACACCTCATGGATCCCGATCAAATCCGCAAACTATCACTTTCTTCCCGAGTTTCTTGTATCTGTATACTAGAGGCTCAGGCAGGAGGATGTGTTGCGGATGAAAAATGTTAAAACTGGAGGAATGTGATAAAAATAACCAGTAGAAGTGTATGGCAGCACTGATGAAGCCCAACTATATCGTCCGACTTCTCAAACCACAGATGAGAAGCATTTCATATTTGAATTGCTCCATGTCTCGAAGAAACCAGTTCGTTGGTCAAGAGTTTAACAGTAAAGCAAATCTGTCAGAAATGAAAGTTTCCATGCCTCTTAGTTAAGCTATGGACTGGAAACCGTTGGCATTGCCAATAGTTACTATCGTGTAGAAATTGGGAGTAGTGAGTACTTGTTTGGAGTGAGACCGCAATGAGAAGTGAGTCATGTAAGCATATGACTATTTGACCTCGAACTGGAACATCACTTACCGACTTTGCCACGTCTTAATCCCTCTCCGCTGGCATGTACCATGCCAGGATCTGCTGCGTGGTGGCTGATTACCAGGCGGAACGGTGATCCTTGAATCGGACGATAGGGTGATCCCGGACCGAGGGGCAAGTCGGGCTGGTCCGCGAATTCTACTGGAACCGCGTGAACATGAACCAAATGAGGACCGCTTTCTCGTGGAACGAAACGAACCGCAAATTGGTCTTGATCGATCGGTTGCACGATTGCGTCCTCAACCGATCCAGAGGGAGCATGAACCTTGGCTTTCAGTACTTCACCAGAAGATTCCTCGTGGTGAATGGTAAATGCGACTGGGCGGCCCACCTAAACGATTAGTAGCACAAGAAACATGCATGAAGTAGACCTAAACACGATATTGGTCGTGATTAGATAGCGTTGTAAAACAAAGCGTTGGCAATGGCGAGAATGGTCTGCGTGATCGGTGCCAATTGGTCACCAGAAATTTACCTGAGATGGCACATCATCCATGGAGGTCACCTCGCGTGTGCTAGCGTACTGCGATTGCAGTGTGTAGGATGCTATGCGACCCATTTGCGAGGAGTCTGTCACATAGATTCGGAACGGAGAGAATGGAATGTGCTCGTCATTGAATTTGAGCGAGCATGTATACACACCAGGCAATGAAACGCGGTAAGACACGAGGGAAGAACCATCGCGACGTTCCTGGATGCAAATAATCAAGAGGGAATATGTCATGGTACATGAATTGGATAAATAACCGAAAATATACAAAAATCCACGCCTATTGAACCGTTGAGGATTAATGATAAAAACAAAATACAGACGTGATTCAGTTCCCAAGTATGTTGATGTTGTACCTAACCATGGAGCTTATGTTGTTCATAAACGACCTACTGAATGTCTTAGGACCAAAAACATTATTGTTTGTAGACGACGTCAAAATCTGGAAGACAGTGACAGAAATTGGGGGTTCGCTGGAACTCCAAGAAACACTGAATGCAGCTCACAAATGGTCTATTGAGAAAGACATCCAATTTAACGTCTCCAAATGTCGGGTGACTTCGCTACGCCACCATGGGCGGTTTCCTTATTTCTTCGGAAACGAACTACTGCCTCATGCGTCAACAGAGAAGGACTTGGGTGTTATAGTCCACACAGACCTGAGCTGTTCTGTTAACTCCGCCAGGGTGTTATCAACAACATGTCGGTCTACTTAAACGTGTTTTCGGTCGGTTTGAACCAACGTTACTCTCACGTCTGTTGTCAGCATACATCCGGCCGCATATTGAGTATTCCATCGAAACTTGGAATACATAGTTACAACGTGATCATAAGATTCTGGAGCGTCCAAAAAGGCTCGCCACGAAGACGGTCAAAGGACTCTATCATGATTCATACATGGGGAAAATGCAGTCGTTGGGTCTATCCTCTGCTCAGTATCGTCGGATTCGAGGA